TGTTTTCTGACAAACATATTAATGCCACCTATCGCAATACGCTAGCTACCAAATTCATTTAAAGTGAAAAGGAGGCTCTAGCCCTAGGGCTTAACCTCTCCAGACACAGTTAGGCAAAGTAAATGCAAAGATTCATGTGAATAGGTAGAAAACCATAAATAAGTAATTACATACACATTCAAGCAATCTGTTTATGTTATTTTTGTTTCTTTTTCAGCTCCACCCAAAAAAAATTTATTCATCTCGGACACATTCGCAGCTGAGTCAAGCTATAAGTGAATTGAACGAACATCATACAGCTATTTAAGGGTACTATAAAGTGATGATTTATTGTATAATATGCAATAGAGCAAGCTAACTACAGTAGCTAACTAACTCTCTCACTCACTCTAGCTTGTTCTCTGACTCTTCAACTCTCCTTTCTCTCTCTCTCTCTCTCTCTCTCTCTCTCCCTTTTGTGTGTGTTCCCTTGCAATTCATGTGCCATGCATGAGAGTGAGTGGATGCAAACATGCATGTGTTATTTTATTAGTATGTATATATGTAGTATTTCATAACACCCACAGAAATGGGAAAACAGCTTGCAAACAGTTGTCAGAAAGGAGGTAAAAAAGTGAGTGAAAGGCAGTTGTTAATAAGAGGTGAGTGGAGGTGTACAAGTGTGCTGGTTGAGTTCCCTGTGGTTTATTAGGCCCTGATGCAGAAATCATGTTATTACAAAACCTTATAAGACATAAGAACATAGAAGAAGGAACACTGGTACTGCAACTGTGCTTTTGACCATTGATATATGGTCCCTTCGGCGAAAAGGCTTCACCGGATTTTCAGCAAACACCAAATGATCACAGTATTTACCAATATAGTATGGTTCTTTTGATTTGCACACTCCTATTTTTGCATTATCTATTTAAGTTCTAGGTCTCACCTGACCTCCAGATAATGTTGGAGTCATGAGTAACCAGATAATTGGTGATCTGTATTCTAGGGTACAGTGAAAGCTATAGCTTCCTGACCCTGACTTGGAGACCAGATATGAAAGGCAACATCTAATGTTGCAGCATGTAAATACTGTCCCACATATCATATAGGGGGGTAGGGGTGTATGATAATGCCGATTGTCCATGACTCTCGATTTATGAAATTAGTATGTACAGTGGACCCTTCGTTATCAGCTGTCGTCCGTTCAGGAGCTCGGCCTAAAACCGAAAATATCTGATAACCGAAATAATATTTCCCATAAAAATTAATGTAAATACAATTAATCTGTTCCAGGCACCCAAAAATATTCACAAAAATAATGTTTTTATTAATTAATGATTTAAATAAATTACATGAAAAATTTAAAATTTCAATATTAATACCTTTATTGACGACTTTCTTGACTTACGGAAAAATGGGGAGGACGAGAGAGGGGAGGTTGGGGTTATTGTTTGGAAGGGGAATCCCCCTCCATAATAACTTCAGGTAACAAGTCCCTCTCGGGGTTACTTCCCTTCTTTGTCTTTTAATCCCACTAGGACCAGCTTGAGAGTCACTGCATACCTGTCACACAAAATACTGTAAAGAGTGCTCTGTTTCTGGCATCTCTAAGATTTCCCTGAATTGGGACAAATTTTGTCACTGAACACTTTTGCAGATATGGTCAGGGTAGTATTTCTCTACAAGTGCTTGCACCTAGTCCACATTGCACAAATCTTTTTAAATCTTTTGAAGAAGGCACCTCCTTCACTCCCTCTTCCCCCTCCTCTGAAGCAAGTTCCATGCTGCAGTCTGTTGCTGTTCGAATTGAATCTCTTGCAGCTCTTCAGTGGTTAGCTCTTCCCTTTTGAACCCATCAATTCTTCTACATCTTTGCCACTAACTTCCAACCCCATGGACTTCCCCAATGCCACAACAGAATCCACAAACAGACAGAGGGTCCTCAGGGTCAGCCTAAAACCCCTTCAAAATCCCTCTCTTGGACACAGCATGGCCACAGTTTTCTCCAGGCAGGGTTCAAAGTCCTGGAAGTGCTCCCTGCCCAAACCTTACCTATAAGGCTTATGCAGTGGAGGATATTGAAGTGATTCCCCCAGAACTCTCTTAGGGTTTTAAATTTCTGTCCAGGTCACTTCAGAGCACCTTTTGAAAACACTGCTTTGGTATAGTTTTTTTGAAGATAGAAATGACCCGCTGGTCCATGGGTGGAGGAGAGAAGTGGTGTTAGGAGGCAAGAATTTCACTGCTATAAACCTGAAGTCCCTAAACAATGGTCTTCCAAGTCTGGAGGATGAGCAGGAGCAATGTCCCGTACCAGGAGGCACTTGAGTGGCAATTTATTTTTCCAGGAGGTATTTTTTCACGCTGGGGCCAAACACATCAGTGACCACTCTTTGAAAATATTCTTGTGACCCATGCCTTATTGTTAGCTTTCCACATCACACACAATCTATCCTTGACAACATTTTTTTTTTTAACACTGGGATTTTCAGAGTGATACACCAATAGAGGCTTCACTCTGAAATCCCCACAGCATTAGCACAGACAAAAGAGTAAGCCTGTCTTTCATAGGCTTATGGCCTGGCAGTGTCTGTTCCTCCTGAGTATTGTAGGTCCTTTTTGGCATTTTCTTCCAAAACAGGCCTGTTTTGCTACAACTGGGGTTGGGGTTTGAATCCTTCAGCCTTTAGTACCCCTGGAATTCCTGTACAAGTTTTTCAGTCGCACATTTGTCAGAACTTACAGCCCTGCCATGCCTTACCACACTGTATATACAGTACCCTTCTTTAATTCTCTCAAACCAGCCTTTGCTGGCCCTGAATTCACTAACATCAGCACTTGTTCCAGGCATTTTCTTTACAAGATCTGCATGCAACTGCCTTGCCTTCTCACAAATAATGGATTCCACAACACTGTCTCCCGCTAATTGTTTTTTGGTGATCCACAACAACAATAACTTCTCCATATTTTCAATTATTGGTGGTCTTTGTTTGGTTAGCACATTTGCCCCTTTCACCACATCAGCTTGCTTGATTTGTTCTTTCTCTGCCAGGATAAAAGTGATTGTTGATTTGTTTTCCCCATATATCCTGCAAGCTCAAGCACTCGAAGGCCACTCTCATATTTTTCAACAACTTGTTTCTTAAATTCCATGGCGTTTCTCACTTTCTTTACCAAAGGAACTTTACTAGGAACTTTCTTTTGGGCCATGGTAACTTATTTCACAGTTGCATTTAATGAAAAACCTCCAAAAACAATGGAAATGTTTGGATGAATGAGCACAAGCTTCCTCACTCACCCAGAGACACAGCTAGACTGATGCACAAGCCATGGCGGCTGGCTGGTTGACGCGTCCCATACGGCTGATAACCGAAATAACGACCAATAACTGGGAGCTGAAAACCTGGCTGGTGACCGAGTTGGCCGATAGCTGGAACAACTGATAACCGAGGGTCCACTGTATACTATATATTTCATGATCATCCGGTTGTCTTCTGAAGTGGACTTGGTCTGCTGATGCAGCAGACTACTGGACACTAAGAATGTGGGTATTGTAACCTGTAGTACTACAGTACACTACTGTCTATATAGTAATTGTATAGTACTCAACATAATTTACAGTAATTTTACTAACCTTTTTGTGGTAGGGAGATGAGGTATAAACTGCAGTGATTGATAGGGGTGAATCAGGCTAACTTTCATTATGAGTCAGAGGAGCTGTAAGGCTCTACCAGTGAAACTTATATAGATGCCTGGGAAGATGTAGAGAGTGAGAAGACATAGATGGCTGAGATGTAGATGCCTGAGATGTAAATGGCTGAGAAGACATAGATGACTTAGAAGACGTTAGCAGACTTAGTCCAGTACTTCAGAGGACAACTGGAGACTATTGATATGGGCAAAATGTGGGATTATGAACCTCTGCCCATGTTGTCCAATAATTAGAGCATTTGTGATGTCAGTTTTTTTTTGTGCAAAATTACCAGAATCTAATAATGAGTTTTTTTTACTGTAATTGTATTTTCTTCATAATTTATTCATTATATGTTTGAACAATTATTTTCTTGAGATTGTACAATACATGTAAAATTTGTTATTTTTTTTAACACATTGGCTGTTTCTCACCAAGGCAGGGTAGCCCAAAAAGAAAAAAAAAAAAAAAAAAACACTGTCTTTGCAGAGGCACTCAGATATGACAGTTTAGATGTCCCTTTAAACTGTATATATCCCAGGACCCTCCTTTAAAGTGCAGGCATTGTACTTCCCATTTCCAGGGACTCAAGTCTGGCTAACCAGTTTCCCTGAATCCCTTCACAAAATATTGCCCGCTCACACTCAACAGCTTGTCAAGTTCCAGTAACCATTTGTCTCCACTCCCATCTAACACGCTCACACATTTCTGCACACATGCCAAGCCCCTTGCACACAAAACCTTCTTTACTTTCCCCTCTCTCCATCCTTTCCTAGGATGACCCTACTCTGCTTTCCCTCTACTACAGATTTATATACCCTCCAAGTCATCCTAATTTCAATCTCTCTAAATGACCAAACTATTTTTACATCACGGTAGTAGTTAGCCATGATATTGATCATCAGGTTTCCCTGATATCTCTTCTTCATGATAGTTATGTCTTGGTGAAAGTGTTCACTTCAGGGTTCTGTTTCAATGAAACTATAAGTGTTGGAACAAAAACTAGGTTTAGATTTAAATTCTAAGCCCCAAAATTAGTTATAAGCATACGGGTATGCTTTTAAACATGAACTGAAGCCATTGTTTGCCAGTGTAATTTTCAAGGAAAAATTTAAATTGTGACAAAGAAATGGTACAATAATTTTAATTAAAAAGAGTAAACTTGGTTTTGAGGATTGTTTTGAATGCCCAAGACATGATGTTCTCCATGTTAGTGTACTGATAAATAATAAGATTTGGTAATCCCCATACATTTGATTTAATATTTTTACCTCCCTTTCCTCTGTCAGGTAGCAATCATGGGATCGCGTGATCAGATGTGCGTTCACCCAGAAGTCTCTAAGGAAGGTAATAAAAACCCTCAAGGTCCACATGTGCCAGTCTAAGGTTAAATCTAAGACCTGCTACTTTAACACTCAGGTATGTTCCTGATTTAGATTCATGTATTTTTTAAGTTTTTCTGATGATCTTAGATCTATTGTCAACAAATAAGGTTCATATATTATTTGACTTAATCCCTACAGCTTGTCTGTATAATTTTCTCATCATACTAAATAAAGAGATATTAGTTTTCCTAGTTGCCTACTTATATTATATATACAAGATGAAGGTACCATCATTAATGCTAATATCAAACCAGTTAAGGAGCCTTGGTAACCCAAAGTAAAGAATTACTTCACAGACCCTCCAGTACTGATTGGTTATCATCATAATACAATAATATGAATACAGTTATATTTCTAAGCTTACAGCAGTGCCTAATTTAAAATAAAAATTTTCAACTACAGTTTTACCTTGGGATACGAACTTAATTCGTTCCAGAAGGCTGTTTGAGTGCGATACCGAACGAATTTGTTCTCATAAGGAATAACGTAAATTAGATTAATCCGTTTCAAACCCCCAAAAATGCACCTACAAAAGCACTTACATAAATACACTTACATAATTGTTCGAGTTTTGAGCGGTTCATATCCCAAGGTACCACTGTATTTTATAAATTGATGATATTTTCAATGTTTATTTTATATTTGACATTCTTGTGGTTGTTTACAGAAAAATCCTAGGGATGGTGATTTAATTTCTCCTGAAACATTTACAATTATGCAGTGCAATAAATATTTTGAAAGGAAATTATTTTAATTCCTCTTATGAAGTGTAGTATGCTACTGTATTTTCTCTTTGCTATTTTTTATAAATTGCAGTATTTGCAGAAATGCTTTACAATGAAAGAATATTGTTGAAATTTTAACTCTTCAGGTTGAAGCAAAAAGAGATGAGCCCGAGCTACGTCAGAAAGTACTTGATCTTGAAGACTTGGTCAAGTTTGGCAAGAAGAAATCTTTCTGCCCATACTACATGGCACGAGAACTGAAACAGGATGCAGACATCATCTTCTTGCCTTATAATTACTTGCTTGACCCCAAGAGCCGTAAGGCACATGGCATTGAGCTTCAGGTCTGAATTTAAAATCTTTCTTTCTTTCAACACACAGGCTGTATATAATCTATATACATAAATTATTTATTTTTAATTTTTATTATCACACCGGCCGATTCCCACCAGGCAGGGTGGCCCGAAAAAGAAAACTTTCACCATCATTCACTCCATCACTGTCTTGCCAGAAGGGTGCTTTACACTACAGTTTTTAAACTGCAACATTAACACCCCTCCTTCAGAGTGCAGGCACTGTACTTCCCATCTCCAGGACTCAAGTCCGGCCTGCCGGTTTCCCTGAAATCCCTTCATAATGTTACTTTGCTCACACTCCAACAGCACGTCAAGTATTAAAAACCATTTGTCTCCATTCACTCCTATCAAACACGCTCACGCATGCCTGCTGGAAGTCCAAGCCCCTCGCACACAAAACCTCCTTTACCCCTCCCTCCAACCCTTCCTAGGCCGACCCCTACCCCGCTTCCTTCCACTACAGACTGATACACTCTTGAAGTCATTCTGTTTCGCTCCATTCTCTCTACATGTCCGAACCACCTCAACAACCCTTCCTCAGCCCTCTGGACAACAGTTTTGGTAATCCCGCACCTCCTCCTAACTTCCAAACTACGAATTCTCTGCATTATATTCACACCACACATTGCCCTCAGACATGACATCTCCACTGCCTCCAGCCTTCTCCTCGCTGCAACATTCATCACCACGCTTCACACCCATATAAGAGCGTTGGTAAAACTATACTCACATACATTCCCCTCTTTGCCTCCAAGGACAAAGTTCTTTGTCTCCACAGACTCCTAAGTGCACACTCACTCTTTTTCCCTCATCATTTCTATGATTCACCTCATCTTTCATAGACCCATCTGCTGACACTTTTCACTCCCAAATAATCTGAATACGTTCACCTCCTCCATACTCTCTCCCTCCAATCTGATATTCAATCTTTCATCACCTAATCTTTTTGTTATCCTCATAACCCTTTCTCTTTCCTGTATTCACCTTTAATTTTCTTCTTTTGCACACCTACCAAATTCATCCACCCAATCTCTGCAAACTTCTCTTCAGGGAAACTCCCAAGAGCACGTGTCATCAGCAAAGAGCAGCTGTGACAACTCCCACTTTGTGTGTGATTCTTTATCTTTTAACTCCACGCCTCTTGCCAAGACCCTCGCATTTACTTCTCTTACAACCCCATCTATAAATATATTAAACAACCACGGTGACATCACACATCCTTGTCTAAGGCCTACTTTTACTGGGAAAAAATTTCCCTCTTTCCTACCTACTCTAACTTGAGCCCCTCACCCTATCCTCGTAAAAAAAACTCTTCACTGCTTTTAGTAACCTTACCTCCTACACCTACACTTGCAACATCTGCCACATTGCCCCCCCATCCACCCCGTCATACGCCTTTTCCAAATCCATAAATGCCACCCAAAAACCTCTTTAGCCTTTTCTAAATACTGTTCACTTATATGTTTCACTGTAAACACTGGTCCACACACCCCCCACCTTTCCTAAAGCCTCCTTGTTCATCTGCTATCCTATTCTCCGTCTTACTCTTAATTCTTTCAATTAAAAACTCTTACCTACACTTTACCAGGTACACTCAACAGACTTATCCCCTATAATTTTTGCACTCTCTTTTATCCCTTTGCCTTTATACAAAGGAACTATGCATGCTCTCTGCCAATCCCTAGGTTACCTTACCTTCTTCCATACATTTATTAAATAATTGCACCAACCACTCCAAAACTATTATCCCACCTGCTTTTAACATTTCTATCTTTATCCCATCAATCCCGGCTGCCTTACCCCCTTTCATTTTACCTACTGCCTCACGAACTTCCCCACACTCACAACTGGCTCTTCCTCACTCCTACAAGATGTTATTCCTCCTTGCCCTATACACGAAATCACAGCTTCCCTATCTTCATCAAACATTTAACAATTCCTCAAAATATTCCTTCCATCTTCCCAATACCTCTAACTCTCCATTTAATAACTCTCCTCTCCTATTTTTAACTGACAAATCCATTTGTTCTCTAGGCTTTCTTAACTTGTTAATCTCACTCCAAAACTTTTTCTTATTTTCAACAAAATTTGTTGATAACATCTCACCCACTCTCTCATTTGCTCTCTTTTTACATTGCTTCACCACTCTCTTAACTTCTCTCTTTTTCTCCATATACTCTTCCCTCCTTGCATCACTTCTACTTTGTAAAAACTTCTCATATGCTAACTTTTTCTCCCTTACTACTCTCTTTACATCATCATTCCACCAATCGCTCCTCTTCCATCCTGCACCCACTTTCCTGTAACCACAAACTTCTGCTGAACACTCTAACACTACATTTTTAAACCTACCCCATACCTCTTCGACCCCATTGCCTATGCTCTCATTAGCCCATCTATCCTCCAATAGCTGTTTATATCTTACCCTAACTGCCTCCTCTTTTAGTTTATAAACCTTCACTCTTCTATTATTGTTATTTTCATATAGTCGGACTTGAGTCCTGGAAATGGAAAGTACAATGCCTGCACTTTAAGGAGGGGTTTGGGATATTGGCAGTTTAGAGGGATATGTTGTGTATCTTTATACGTATATGCTTTTAAACTGTTGTATTCTGAGCACCTCTGCAAAAGCAGTGATAATGTGTGAGTGTGGTGAAAGTGTTGAATGATGATGAAAGTATTTTCTTTTTGGGGATTTTCTTTCTTTTTTGGGTCATCCTGCCTCGGTGGGAGACGACCGACTTGTTGAAAAAGACAAAAAAAACATAAATTATACATCACAGGGCATTCAGAATGTTCGTCGATAAGGTCAGAGACTCTTCCATGTTTTAGTACTCTTATGGATAGGTTCACAATGATCCTCAGAGTATCCCACTGGCCTGACCAAGACTAAACTGAAAATCAAATGTGGTAAACTCTTCTGTCATATCCTTTCCTACATACATTACTGTATACTACAAACAAGGGAGTAACATATCAGGATGCCCATTCAGGAAAACCTAATCTTTAAATCCTAACATTAGTAATTCTCTATAGGGATGATTAGTTTCCTGAAGTATCAGCTTGATTATGAAAAGTTCCTTAACCCTTTCATTGGCTATCCCATAGTACTACAGCTTTGGGTCACTGTCCATGCTATAGTATATGCCTGAGCTCAGCTCACTCAGATAAGCTGTGAGCAGTAAATTTGGGCCTAGATATGAGAGAATGGGTCTATGTGGTAAGGGTGCAGGGTGCACAATATAAAAAAATCCTGCAGCACACAATGCATAATGAGAAAAATAACTGTGTCCATGTTTTTTGGTTTAAAACAGTGACTGTGGTTTTTTATGGTTGTATTCTCAGTTTCTTGGTCTCATTTGATAGAATGGAAGATATATTATAGAAGTAGGTTGATTTTAATGGTTTCAGAACTGAAAATAGCTTGAAATTGAGCTCAGAGTAGTAGAAGTGTTTGATTTTTGCCAATATTCAAGAGTAACAAATCATGTTGCTCATCCAATACATGCCCGACTGGTGGGTCTAATATGCGTTCATGAATGCACTGATATTATTTATATTAATTTTTACAATATTGCATAACAATAAATCTTCTATTTTTTTGTGATAAAAATTGTGTTGAATAAAAATAAAAATGGAATAATGTATAAAAACTTGGAAACATAACTAATGAACAGAGGAAATGTTATTTTAGTGCCAAGAATGCCTGCATTGTTTATTCTGGACCCTACTTTGAAATTTGTGAAATTGGCCAAATTATCAATTTCTGATCACTTTTGTTGTATAACCCTTGTCAATTTAGCTCTTTCTTTGATTATAATAATATAATAATCTGATCACTTTATTGGGTAGTTGAAATATAGTTGATTGGGTGATTTCTTGTGCTCAGTCGATGAATTGGAAGACATACTAATGAAATAGCTAGAATTTAGTCACTGGTACAATGTAATTGGCCTAAAATAGGACTCAAAAATGGGCAAAATCGCAATGCGTAAATATCGCTGACAGCAAAAAAATTCACAAAAGTGTAATTTCGTCAGTTTTCCATCAAATTTCATACTTTTTGTTTTGTTACCTTCCGAAAAACATTCTCTACCATTTCATAAGAAAAAATAATAAATTATTTTTTTTTTAAATTCTTGGGACAGTGTGGACAAGTGTCAGATTGGGGGTCTGGACAATGAAAGGGTTAAGATATTACAAATGCATTTCTCCTGTTTCTGTGTTTGTTTTTTTTGTGTGTGTGTTTGCAGTGGTCAAGATTTTTCTGGCTAGCTTAAGTCAGAAAAATCTGTACAGGTTAGCCATCACTGATCCGGCAGCATTGGGACCTGTAGGGTGCCGGATTAGTGATTTTGCCAGATTACAGAGTGGTTAGGTTAGAATACACATAACCCAACGGCAATATTTATGCATTGGCGATTTCACCCAATTTATGCCCTATTTTTGGCCCATTCCATTGTTCCAGTCTACCAAACTCATAGCTATTTTGCTAGTATTCCTTCTATTCTGTCAACTGAGTACAAGAAACTGCCCAGTCACCTCTTTCAGCTACCCAATAAAGTGGTCAGAAATTGGTAATTTGGCCATTTTGCACAATTTCCAAAGATGCCAGTTTCAAAATAGGGTCCTGAATAAACAATGCAGACACTTCTAGCATTTAAAATAACATTTCTATGTTCATTAGTTACATCTCCAGGCCCTTCTTATATTATGCTTGCTTTCCATTTTTAACTTTTATTCACACAAACATAAAAGATTTACTGTTATGAAGACTACTGCATTATTGTAATAATTGTATAAATAATGTCAACCATTCATGAGTGTCTATTAGACCTGCCCGTTGGACACGTATTGGACAGTGATGTCATTTGTTTACTCTGGAAATCGGCAAAAATCGAACATTTCTGTTACTTTGAGCTCAATTTTAGGATACTTTCTAGCATGAAAACCAATCAAAATTATATCTATTTCTGTTAAGTATCTTCTGTTCTATTGAATGAGACCAAAAAAACGAGAATACACCATGCAAACCATGTGAAAATACACTGTTAAAGTTGGGTTACACCATTAAACACGGTCGCAGTTTTTTCCCTCACTATGCACCGCGTGCTCAGGATTTTTTTATGTAGTGCACACTTACCACACAGACCTATTCTCTCAAATGTAGGCCCAAATTTACTGGTCACCCGCTTATCTCGTTGAGCTGAGCTCATGGCGGACTGACAGTGGCTTCAAGCCACCTTATTTTTTTATGAACAATGCGCGGTGTAGGTACTTTACACAGTGAGAAACATCTCTTTTATTTGTTGGAACCATGGCTAGGGCTAAAAGTGAGCAGGTTTTAACAGTAAATGGAGAAAAAGAAATTGGAATGACTTATGCAGCAATTAGCGCTGCCAAACAGTAGTGGCAGGTTGGTGTGGCGATGCCGGAAATTTGAAGTTATGCTAGCCGAAATTAGTACCAGATTACTGATGGAACCGGGATTACTGATTGCGGGATTAGTGATGGCAACCTGTACCTCATGATGAAGGGCCTTGTCCAGGGTTTGTATGAGATATCCTCTGGTCTCATCAACATTGTCATATCTATTTATCAGCTTGTTTATTATTAATCATCATATCACTGTTTGAGAGCTTCCTGTCTTCTTGCTCTCCTGTTGGAGTGTTCTTCATAAGGTTTTCAGTTGCTTGTTTTCATGATTTTGAGTACTTGTGGTAGGTTTCCCTATAGTGATTTATGAAACCTAAATCCATACTCATTTTGAAAATGAGAAACTATTTTCTGTGGAGGGTTACATGTTCATTGGTGTCTGTTATCTACTTTTGCCAGCTGTTCCTTACCAGACACACCTGCACTCCACTGGGTTAGCAGGGGAGTGCAGATGTGTATGTACATAACAAAATGTGCACAGAAGGTTAACTGAGTAAAAATGATCTTAGAGCTCTTACTACAGCTATAAAAGTTTACAGACATGTTGCATTTTCAAAACACAGAAGAATTTTTCATACTTCAAAATGTTATGCTGTAGTGTACTATTAATTGATGCCACAGGGCAGTGAGATTTTCTTACAAGTATTTGAAACCTTGTCTTCATCCTAAATCTTTTTAACTTATTTTTTATGTAAAAATAGATTGTGAATATTTTTATGTACCTGGTTCCTTAATCAATATAAAATCTAAAGACCAGAGTTTTATTTTTTATTTTCTGTCATTATAATATTTGCTAAAAAAAATTTAAAGATATTAATTAGGGCATTATTTACAGGGTAATATTATCATATTTGATGAAGCCCATAATGTGGAAAAAGTTTGTGAAGAAGCTGCATCTCTTCAAATACGCTCTACAGATTTGGCTCTTTGCATTGATGAAGTTACTCAGGTAAGTGCAAGACTGCTTTAACCCCTTCAGGGTCCAAGGCCCAAATCTGAAGTGGTGCCCCAGTGTCCCAAAAATTTTAAAAAAAAAAATTTGTTATTTTTTCTTATGAAATGGTTTAGAGAATCTTTTTGTGAAGGTAATAAAACAAAAAGTACGAAATTTGATGGAAAATTGACGAAATTATGCTCTCGCGAATTTTGTTGTGTCAGCGATATTTACGATCGGCGATTTTGCCGACTTTGACTCCCATTTTAGGCCATTACATTATTCCAGTCAGCTAAATTCTTAGCTATTTCACTAGTATTACTTATTCTATCGATTGAGCACAAGAAATCGCCAAGTCAACTGTTTCAACTACAAATTAAAGTGATCGGAAATTGTTAATTTGGCCATATTTAACACAAAGTTCAAAATATTCCAATTTCAAAATAGGGTCCAGAATAAACAATGTAGGTTTTCCCTGGAACAAAACTAACATTTCCTCTGTTCATTAGTTATGTTTTGAGGCTTTACAAATAAATTCCATTTTTATTTTTTATTCACACCAAAAAATAGAAGATTTACTGTTATGCAATACTGTAATAATTGTTTAAATATCATCACCATATTTGTGAATGCATATTAGACCACCAGCTGGCGTGTATTAGACGTGTGAGGTCGTTTGTTTACTCTTGAATATCGGCAAAAATTTAACATTTCTGCTACTTTGAGCTCAGTTTCAAGCCATTTCCAGTGCGAAACCAATCAAAATCATCTCTATTTCTGTAATATGTCTTCCATTCTATCAAATGAGACCAAGAAATCGCAAATAGAACTATAAAAAACATACGAAAAAAACACTGCAAAGTCGCTGTTTTAATCGAAAATCATGATTTCAGTTTTTTTCTTTCATTATACACAGCGTGCTGCGGATCTGTTTTATGTGGTGCACACATACCACATATATGTATTCTCTCTATCTAGGCCCAAATGTACCACTCACAGTTTATCAGAGTGAGCTGAGCTCATGACGTAGATCTACGGTTTGGACCTGAACGTAAAGCCGTTAGATCTACGGGACAGACCCTCAAAGGGTTAAGTGTACAGCTGACTGAAAGAAATTGCTATTTTTGATGCCCAAAGTGACAATTATTTTATTTAAAAAAATTCTGTGCTCATTATTTATTTTTAATATAGGGACAATGGTATATGGTTAATTATGAATGTTTACAAATGCTGTAGTCTGTGATATTCATCACATACTGAAAATTTAAAAAAGTGATAAAAAACATTTCCTAATTCATATATGAGCGCTCATTAAGATAGTAATTCTTGAATTTGCTTAAATAATTTGAAAATAAACTTGCTGAAGTAATGACTACTTTGTAACTTTTATTTTATTATAGTGAATGGGGGTATAATACACTCCACTCAGGCAGTGGAAAATATCTGTTATGCAGCCACAATGCTTCATGAAGAACTAATATACCTTAGCTCTTGATGAAGCCCCTCAAGAGAGGTTCCTTGATGCTGGTGAGGGGCTATTGATCTAGGGAATTGGATCTGTGTTTGGTCCCCTGATTGAGCCTGAATACCTTCCCTCCCTTTCCCCCACAGCACTGTATAATCCTATGGGTTTAGTGCTCCCCCATAATTATAATAATAATAATTTTGATAAAGCATTGTGGTTTCACAGGCCTTACTTTAGTGGCCCTTTTGTGAATGCTGCATAAAAAACCCCAATATCAGTGATGGACCCTTTCAATGACCAGGATTTAAGAAGGAAGTCCTGAGGTTGTCTCTTAATTCAAATGAATTCAGAAGAATATATAGAGGAAGTGGATGGAGAATTTTGAAATAGGATGTATAACTGACTGACTTCAGTTATTCATTTGGAAAATACTCAGATAACATTGGCTAGGCTATGTACCCAAATTTGTGTATGCATTATTCCAACAAACTGATTACCTTTGTCTTAATTGTATTTGGCAGTCCCTGCTAAATAAAAAGTTGCAGTCCTCAACAACAGTTTAGGAAGTAAATCATATTTTTTCCCATTGACTAAACAGGTTCTAAAATTTGTTAGCAAATAATACAAGCTTTCCTTCAATATATTCTTAACATTTTACATTTTTTTTATTTTCATGAGACTGTTTCTTTAAGGATGACATATTTTTGAAAGAAATAGGTGTCACATGTGTGACACCTATTGTATTGTAATGTCACTTAAAATATTTATATTTATATTTAATTTTTCAGGTAATGAAGAAGCTTCAGGACATAAGTGAAGGTTCAGATATTGCAGCTAATGCCTCCAGTCAGGGCTTACCGGACGATTTCAGTCCAGATGATCTTTATACGTTGAAAGCACTCTTCTTGGAATTAGAAAAGGTAGATGTAAGATTTATTGTACTCTTTGTTAAGGATTGAGGGGGTAGGTATTGCATATAGTTTCTCACTGACATTAAGATTCTCTTCCTAGGATAGATTATATAATATACTACATACTTTTTTATTTTTTTTTTTCAACAAACCGGCCGTATCCCACCAAGGCAGGGTGGCCCAAAAGAAAACGAAAGTTTCTCTTTTTAAATTTAGTAATTTCATGCGGGAGAAGGGGTTACTAGCCCCTTGCTCCCCGGCATTTTAGTCGCCTCTTACAACACACATGGGTTACGGAGGAAGAATTCTGTTCCCCTTCCCCCTGGAGATAAGAGGAAATAAACAAGAACAAGAACTAGAAAGAAAATAGAAAAAAACCCAGGGGGGGTGTGTATATATATGCTTGTACATGTATGTGTAGTGTGACCTAAGTGTAAGTAGAAGTAGCAAGACGTACCTGAAATCTTGCATGTTTATGAGACAGAAAAAAGGACACCAGCAATCCTACCATCATGTAAAACAATTACAGGCTTTCGTTTTTTACTATATACAGTGGCCCCCGACTTACAATATTAATTCATTCCAGAAGTCTGTTCGGGTGGCGTTACCGAACGAATTTGTTCCCATAAGGAATACACGTACAAAAATACACTTACATAATTGTTCGAGTTGGGAGCTGATCGTAAGGCGGGGGTCCACTGTACTTATAAATAGTTTTTTTTACCCACCTTCCTTTTCTTTCTATATAATATCATCTTTGGAGTGATTGTTGTCATTGATTGAAATTTACTACACCTGTATATTTTTATAAAAATAAAAAATGTATTGTAATAGGATAGTTTAGACCCCTGGTGACAAGCTATAGTGCAGGCTTTTGTTTAGTTGTAGATACTGAAGTTCTTTCTCGGGTCCTTAACCCTTTCAGGGTCCGTCCCGTAGATCTACGGCTTCACGTTGAGTGTCCAAACCGTAGATCTACGCCAAAATTCTAGTGCCGTCAAATTTAGCGTGAAAGCGCTCATAGGCCTACATGTGAGAGAACGGGTCTGCGTGGTGGGTGTGCGCCATAAACAGAAAATCTAGGCACCGCTAGCATTGTGGGAACGCCGGCTCAGTTACCCTTGTTCACCATGCCTCGTCGCAAGTCAGCTCTCACTCCCCGGAAAATTGGGACTCTCCTCTTCCTATCTGATAGTTCTGACACTGATGGAAGTGGAAATGAAGATGAATTCTATGGCTTTGATCAGTTAGTGACCAAAAGGAATGACCAGGATATCGATAATAGTGCAGAAAACCCTGACGATCCTCAACTTCTACCTCTGGTGTGGGCACTCGTGACTCACGATCGGTTGTGCCTCAACGCAAGAGAAAACTAATATTTTCGCGTGGCCAGGCCTCTGACTTCAGTAATGATGGTGATAGTGACGTGGATTGTGATTTTATTGTGCATGACGATCATTCAAGTAGTGATAGTGAGGAATCATATTCACCAGTGAAGCGTCGGTATGTATGCCGCCGCATGCGCTCGGGTGTGTACCCTATGCTGTGCCAGGGGACGGAGTACATCCCGGAGTACATCCCGTGGCCCTACACCAGGTTTAGATAGTGATAGTAAGGATGATGTGGCTACACTTGGCATGGATAGACCACAGGCATCAGTAGATGGTGGTAGTGGTGATGGTTGTGGCACCACCATGCGTGACTCACCAGCCCAGGCTGGGACCCACGCTGCTGACTCGTCAGTTCAGGACAAAGCGGAGCATCAGCCACCAGCCCACCACAATCACAACACAACCACCTGCACAACCAGCCTATGATGTCCAGTATCCACCAGCAAAATGTATCTGGGATTGGCAGCAAAATCCCAATTTTGTTCCTAAGCCCCATCACTTAGATGACTCTCAAAGTAGAATTCTACCTGCTTGTCCCCTTGGAACCATGGCCAATGAACTGGAATTCTTTGAATTATTCTTTGACCAGCCATTGATGGAAACTATTGTCAGGGAAAGTAATAAGTATTTTGAGTACACCATGGCAAATACGATCATATCACCACAGTCAAGACTACACAGGTGGAAAGAGACGACTGTTGCAGAAATGTATTTGCTTTTTGCAACAATAATGCTTATGCCTCATGTCTATAAGCATAATATAAAAGCATACTGGTCCACAGATCGGCTAATTTCTACCCCGGTTCTTCAGTGAATCATCCCAGTGAACAGGTTTATCTTACTGTTTACGTACGTTGCACTTCTCTGACAAAACAGGCCTGACAGAAGTGACAGGTTATACAAGATTAGAAATGTTTTTATGTATCTCAAACAAAAGTTCAGCATATACTTTTATCCATTCAAGAATCTTGTAATTGACGAGTCTTTGATTTTGTTCAAAGGTAGACTGTCATTCAAGCAGTATATACCGAGCAAGAGGAAATGCTTTGGTATAAAACTGTTTGTACTCTGTGACTGTGACAATGGCCTGGTGTTGGATATTGTTGTATACACGGGAAGTAAAACATTGAAAGATACCAAGATGTTATTGGGTATCTCAGGTGACGTAGTGAGAAACATGATGGCACCTTATCTTGGTAAGCGGCACACATTATGTACCGATAACTGGTACACAAGCCCATTACTCAGTGATTTCATGCGATGGTGAACAAGATAGATGTGTGTGGCACAGTGCGTTCTAATCGTAAACATATGCCCAGGCTCAACGCAGGTGCTCATGGTGATGACGTGCAGGTGTTTACTGCCAATGACATCATGGCATTACGGTGGCATGACAAATGAGATGTCACATTGTTGACAACCATTCACCGTAATGAAATGCAAGACAGTGGCAAAGTTGATCGAGTGGACTAATGAACGTATTCGAAAACAGTGACAGTGATTGATTATACACAAAACATGCGCTTGGTTGACAAATGTGACATGCAGATTGGTTTTGTTGATTGTGTTCGTAAGAGTTACAAGTGGTACATGAAACTTTCTTCCATCTCATGGACTTTTCAATGCTCAATGCATATAATATGTACCAAATAAAGACTGGCAAACAGACCACCGTATGGTGAATTTTGTTTGTCTGTTGTCAGTCAACTCATAATGAAGTACCAGGTAAGAACACCTGCTATACAACAAGGTCCTCGAATTACTCAGGATATACCCAGGCGTTTGAGGAGGGAAGGTGATCATTTCATAATACAGCTTCCTTCAACTCAGAAGAAAATTTGCTCAGAAGAGATGCATTGTCTGTGCACAAACAAAACGACGACAACAAAGACGCAAAGACACTCGGTTTATGTGTGAGGAATGTAAGGTGCCTCTGTGCATAGTGCCCTGTTTCAAGGAGTTCCACAAGCTCCAGCAGTTCTAAAACCATTGTCCAGTGATTGTAAATATTGTAAATATATGATAGAACATTAGTATTATACAAGATTTGTGCATGTTTATTGTAATAAACAACAGTGGTAAACAATAATATGATAATACATTTAGTGCAGTTATTGTGTTCAATACAGTGAGTTTATATATATATACATTATATACAGTATTGGTCTCTCAGGCCCCAAATGTTAGTAGGAAAAGAAAAAAATTGGAAAAGAAAAGAAAAAACTACAAAAACTGCTAAATAAAGTAATGCACGTATGTGGAATTCGTCGATGTTGCCGCCACCACATCATTTTGGACAAACTTCTTGGCACTGTATCTCGGTAAGTACTGATCAGAAATTTTTTTTTGTCTTATTACCTTCACAAAAATATGCTCTTTAATTCTGTAAGAAAAAATAATTTTTTTTTTTTTTTTTTTTTTTTTTTTTTTCAAAATTTCTTGGACACTGGAGCACCACTTCAGATTTTGGCCTTGGACCCTGAAGGGGTTAAGGAACAGTGAATATGTGCAGCATAACCATGGTTGATACACTCATTCCATACTGTCATACAGCATGCTGGAGAGTCTCACATAAAATTAGTGTCATACTTATTTGCAGTTTGGAGGGATATGTTATATATCTTTATTTTTTTTTTTTCACAAACCGGCCATATCCCACCAAGGCAGGGTGGCCCAAAAATAAAAACAAAAGTTTCTCTTTTTAAATTTAGTAATTTATACGGGAGAAGGGGTTACTAGCCCCTTGCTCCAGGCATTTTAGTCGCCTCTTACAACACGCATGGCTTACGGAGGAAGAATTCTGTTCCACTTCCCCATGGAGATGAGAGGAAATAAACAAGAACTAGAAAGAAAATAGAAGAAAACCCAGAGGGGTGTGTATATATATGCTTGTATGTACATGTATGTGTAGTGTGACCTAAGTGTAAGTAGAAGTAACAATCTTGCATGTTTATGAGACAGAAAAAAGGACACCAGCAATCCTACCATCGCGTGAAACAATTACAGGCTTTCGTTTTACACTCATTTGGCAAGACGGTAGTACCTCCCTGGGTGGCTGCTGTCTACCAACCTACTACCTAGGATATATCTTTATATATGCTTCTAAACTTGTATCTGGACACCTCTGCAAGGACAGTGATTATGTATGAGTGAGGTGAAAGTGTTGAATGATGATGAAAGTATTTTCTTTATGGGGATTTTCTTTTTGGGTCACCCTGCCTCGGTAGGAGACAGCCGACTTGTTGAAAAAAAAAAATTGTCTATTTTATTTTTATAAAGTTAGTGTTATATACTGTACTGTATAAATGTCTAGTTTCCTAGCCAAATTTTGGAATCTTATGCTATACATAAAGTTATAATGTAATTTTTTTCATAGCCTTGTTTCTGATGATCTCTAGAGAAAACTTCTTTATACAGTGGACCCCCGCATAATGATCACCTCCGAATGCGACCAATTATGTAAGTGTATTTATGTAAGTGCGTTTGTACGTGTATGTTTGGGGGTCTGAAATGGACTAATCTACTTCACAATATTCCTTATGGGAACAAATTCGGTCAGTACTGGCACCTGAACATACTTCTGGAGTGAAAAAATATCGTTAACCGGGGGTCCACTGTATTGACTTCAGAGTTGACGACAGTGATATTCGTAAAACAAATATAATGGCATACCTTCCCTGGATTCATTTGCCACTTGGGCAAATGCTTACCTCTCTGTCACCTTCGCCCTTTATGTGCTGATGCCATCTGCTCTTTCACAGTTACCAACTAGTGTTTATAGATTAAAACCAAGTTTTATTTCTTTTATAAGGGCCATGGATTGTACTATTTCTGTAAATTGAGTTAGCTTTACATTTTAGTCTTGAAAAAAGTAGAGTGAGGAAGAGCTTGTGAAGGGCCTGTGTATTGAGCCTGTTGTCTAAATGACATCTAATGTGACTGATGACTGACTCTTGATGTGTAATATTTGCTTTTTTATTTTTTTATTTTTTATTTTCAAATCCCCTTCACAGATGCATTGCTCTTTGTAAAATATATAGAGCTAAGTGTGTTTTGTACAGTAAATGTTGTAGTGTATGGAGATAGTAGGTCATCTTTGAAAGTCTATATATGTACTTTTTTTTATATTCTTTAGCTTTGATTTTTCTTTCCATTTTTTTTCAGTATTATTTATTCTTAGGTCCATTTTGTTAGCAGTTTTAATTCCATATAATAGTATGTAGAAGATCTTTTTGCTTTGTGAATTTTTCTTAAAATTTTATTTATTTTTTTACTTTGTTGTTCACTGTTGTTTTAGGTGTTTGCAGGGGGTTAATAAGATAATTGCAGTGTCCTGAGAAAAGATTTTGGTTTTAAGTTTTTTTTAAATTTATATTTGCTAAACTGATGAATAGGGGAGGATCACGAATGCTACCTTAAGGGACATAAATGTTAGTGGGATTGTAGTTGGAATCATCAGCCCACAGCCCTGTCTCAGATCATTCAAAAGGAAATATTACAGGAATAATTGCTATTTAAAAAACACATAATGAGGTGGGAATAAGTGCATACTGAATGTAAGAAGAGGGTAAATTTTTGTCATTTCATATGGTTATGAGACACACAGGAAGTATCACCTTGATTATGAAAAGTTTCTTTTGATATTACACTTTCCTCCATTTTTTTTTTTTTTTTTTTTTTTTTGTTTTGTTTTTGTGTGTGTGTGTGTGTGTGTGTGTGTTGTGTGTGTGTGTGTTTTGTGTGGGGCAAAAAAAAGTGATAATGTGTTGAGTGTGGTGAAGTGTTGAATGATGATGAAAGTATTTTCTTTTTGGGGATTTTCTTTCTTTTTTGGGTCACCCTGCCTCGGTGGAGACGGCCGACTTGTTGAAAAAAAAAATTGTTTTTGTTTGATTTTTTGTGTGTTTGATGAGGTACTAAGTTTCAATTAAAGGTTTGAGTGACAACTGATTACATTTGTTTTTTAGGTTCAAAGGAAGGTTGATGTGGTAACATTGTAGTCACTGGCATGTCACAGTAGTAATAGCTTTGTTTTTTTCTTCAACACTACCAAGTAGTTATGCATCATTTGCCACTTCTGTCATGTATAAAAAGAGGAAAATTTAAAATGGAACAGGATAGCAATTTTTTTTTATGCAGAATTGTCATCTACATTTCTGAAGTTAACATTTTTTAAATTCAGGCACAGCTTATTAATAAATATTTCAGGAAAATTATTTATGCATCAATAATTACACCACGTTAAAGATATTATTCTCTCTTACCAGGCTGTAGATGATATAGTTCTCCCAACAGATGGCTCTGGATCTACTTTCCTGGTAGCTATATGTTTGACCTTCTAGAGGGAAAACAGATATTACACACCCTAAGAAAGCAATCATTCTGGAAGTCTTGGATAAACTAGTAAGATAGATGTGTTTCTTGTATGTAATTTTGTTATACTGTATACTAATACCTTAATAGCTACTTTTATTAGTGAAATACTGTAAAACCCCTTAAAAATTTTTTAGAAAAAAAGAATGTCTTTGTATAATAGAATAAGTTGATCCCTTTCTGTTCAAAAAATTTTACCAGGAACGT